AATCTGTTTCCAGAGAAGTACCATTTTTATCTTTCAGATATCTTATAAGCGTTTATACTTTATATTTTGTACTAATTAATGCATAATTTTTTGGCGTGTTTATATGTATGTATATTTATTTGTTGTTTATCTGTATATATGTGTAAGCAGAGATGAAGGTTGTAGCTGCCTATTTGCTCGCTGTTCTGGGAGGCAATGCCTGCCCTTCCACCGATGATTTGAAGGACATCATCAGTTCTGGTATATATGTTCTCTCACTCTTCTACATTTTTGAATGTACACTTGGAATATACTTTCTGCGTTAATATATGTTTATGCTCTGTGTTTAATTTTGGTTTTTATCAAAAATTAGGATCATTAATTAATGTAACAACTAACAGTTGCATTGGGATTATTATTGATCTGTTTTCTGAGTATGTGAGATTTGATTGATTATATTATAATAAATGGCGATTAGCGTTTGCTTCTGCTGTTCGTGATGAAAGAACTAGAGTGTGTTTTGTTTCCGAATTTTATGGTAGTTTATGTTTAAATGATGAAAGTGAGAATTTTGTATGGAACAGTTGCAAATGATTCTGTGCTTGTAATATAAATCATATACTTGTGATGTTTTTCCAGGATAGTTTTCACGTGAAAGCCTATTGCAATTCTTTGATTGTTTAGAGGTGTACGTTTTTTTATTCTTGAGTTTCCCCTGGTGTTTCTGTTGGGGTAGACTCTTGCTCACGAATTGACACTAAGGTAATTTTATTGATAGGGCTGATGTGATTTGTGTTAGATATCCGGTAATGACGTTCTCGCTTCTCACTTTTCAATCTTTTATTAAATCGTGTACTATTTGATTGAGTTTGTTTGAAACTCTAATATGCCCACAAGAATTCCCTTCATTAATTATTTTTACTCAATCTTTAATTGACACATTCTGGTGAGAAGTTTTTGCAATCCTTTTTTTTTTCTCCCCACACAAGAATCAATGATTTGCTTTCCATGTTGACAGAGATATCTTTACCCACCGAAAGTATGCTATGCTACAGTAACTTATGTTTGATGTGTCAATATACATTAAATTTTGTGTTTTCTGATATTAGCAATCATTTTTCCTTGCACCTTGTGCCTAACCCTTTTCATTTTTCATTTTATATTTAGTTGGAGCTGAAGCTGATGATGATCAGATTGGGCTTCTTTTGACACAAACTCAGGGCAAAGATATCACTGAGCTCATTGCAGCTGGAAGAGAGAAGTTGGCATCTGTACCCACTGGAGGTGGTGCTATTGCAGTGGCCGCTTCTGCTGCCGGTGCTACCGGTGGTGCAGCTGCTCCAGCTTCAGCTGAGCCCAAGAAAGAGGAAAAGGTGGAGGAGAAAGAGGAGTCAGATGATGTAAGTCTTTCTACAAGTAATTGCATTTAAAATGGTTATCTTATCCGATTTTCCAACTCCCAGTATTCACTCTCGTTTAGGAGTTCATCTGTGTTGAAACCTCTTTAAGTTGAGTTCAATCGATACGTGGAATTTCATGGGTTGTTTTTGATTGGTTTGGTTGCAGTTAACATACAGTTCCTGGAGTGTGTATTATAAAGCAGTTCCTTTGGTTTCCTATTGCAAGCTTTTACTTGCAATGGTCACGATAAGTTTTTTGATAGAAAACAGTTCACTTTATCTTCCACGACACCGTAACTCCAATTTGCATAATGGACCACGTAACTATAATTTTTATTGATTGTCTTCTCAAACATGGAAGCATTCCCTTTGGCTTTCTAGTGCAAATGCACTTGCTACCAGACGTAATGGTTCATATGTATCCAGTTGGACAGCATATCATATCCACTCATATAACAATGGACCATCTAGGTGTAATTTTTATTGATTACCTTCTTAAATTTTGAACATGCATTTGAAAATTTCAATTTTTCCTCCTTTCTGTAACTCCGATACAGGTACTAATTGACATTTTCTGTTTTTGAATTTGCTACAGGATATGGGGTTCAGTCTCTTTGACTAAAGGGTTGCGGCTTAAATAGCTTTCATAGTAGTGCTCTAGTGTTTCTTTTTCTTTTTAATATTTGGTGTTCACTTGGATTAAAATTTTGACAATCTCAAAGTATTGCAGTCAGCTGTCAGCAACATCATTCTTGGATATTACTTGAATTGATTACTGGATTACTTCTACCGTTTCTCTGAATATTTATTGGAAAAATTGTAGCAGAGGTTCCAAACGTTTTATTTTGTTGTAGAATACGCCTTAACCTTTCATTTTTATGGCCGTGGTCCCAAACCTTTCACTTTAATGACAGTCGAAGTCCATCGGACAGATTGTATCCAAAATTTTGTTAGTCAATGCTGAAATTTGAATTTTGACTGAAATTGACAATATTGCTTTTCTTTAGTTTTGCGTTCTTAATAGTTATCGAAACAAATTCATATTAGACTTTTCTATTTTTGTGGGATTATTCGTAACACAATACTTCTAAGAGTACACCGTGATTAAGGGATATGATCTTGCCGCATTCAGGAGATGGGTATTTATGGATTTGTTTGAATTGAATGAGAGTTTCTTGATTTGTTGGTAATTAACATGATGTTCTGGGTTTAGGAGACTGAGAAATTTAGGAACTATTTGATTGAGAAGTTGTTGGAGACCTATACTGAAGTGGCGATGATGGACGGTGTAGTAGTGGCGATGGTGGTTATAAGGTGCGACAGTGATTGGATTCAAAATTTTCATTTTGGGGGTGGCGTTGGGGCCCGGGGGTTAAGGGTGAGAGGGTTTGGAGAAGATGAAGTTGATTTATTATTTATTATTTTTTATGTTTGGTTTTATATTTAAATGCTTTATGATAGAAAATATAAACTTACTATTTTACCCTTATTTAATTTGTCAATTTGAGTCAAAATTCAAATTTCAGCGTTGACTAATGGAATTTCGGAATTTTGGACGGAATATGTCCAATGGACTCGGGTTGCCATTAAAGTGAAAGATTTGGGACTATGGCCATAAAAATGAAAAAATAAGATATATTCTACAAAAAAAATAAAAGGCATGGGGACCTCCACAGCAATTTTCCCAATATTTATTTTGCCTTGTTTAATATATTCCACAATAGTTGCCATTCGCACTTCCACCTTATATTGGACTTCCGTTTTAGTAATTGTGTTTAAAATTTCTGTGTTTCGTATAGCTTGAACGATTGTTTACAGGGATTCTAAAGTGGCTTCTTGAAAAATTTTTGCCCCTTCGCTGGTGCTGTTATGGGAGTTTTGAATCTTCAATGTCAAGACAACCAGTTCAGAAGAAAAATTCGGCATCATCATATATTGAACAACAATCCAGCCTTAAAATCAGTCCGTATCCCATCAATTGTAAGTTTCTATCTGATCGATCGTAGCTTTTGCTTAACTTATCAATCCTATTGGGAACATTTGAGAGCCCAACCAAGTATAAACCATCCGACAATACCTCTTGATATATTGGCCATGCCTAAGTTCTTGTGAAAGACGTCCATATTTGAGGGGTGGCGAGGCTCAGTTTGGCACGTAGATGTTCGAGCTCAGCTCATGCTCAACTCTTATGATCTTGGTCCTTTGGCTTGTAAGTCTCATGAGCCAAGTCATTCACGTGTAAAAAAGGAGTAATTTAAAAAAAATAAAATTAATAAATGAGTTCAAAATGAGGAATAAAAAGTGAATCGGTCTACGAATCCAAATGAACCGGCTCAACTCATGAAAAAGTATAAGCTCGACTTGAATCGTGACCCGTCTCAAAATAGGTCCGAGCCAGCCATGAACCAAGTCGGATTGAACCAAAATCGCTAACTGCTCGATCCATTTATTGAACCAACCTCAATAACTGCTCGATCCATTTATCTCACAATCGAAAGGCCTCACCCATTGAAGAACCATTCCAATTTGGAATTTGAACTCTTGTGATTGATATAGTTACAAATTACAAATCCCAATCATTGTACAAATTTTGGGGAACTTGTTTTTATTAACATGGTAGAGAATTGATGCATATCTTTAGAATCATGCTACACAAACAAGTGCTGTGACAGCGATTAAAAATAGGGGGACACGAGACGCAACTTTATTGAGGAGTTTGAAAAAAAAAAAAAAAATTGGCCACACAGGTGTTGCAAATGCAGTGTGGTCAACATCCATCTCTTCAAAGCATGTTCAAGCAGCATTATTGATATCTTTATTCCACCGTCCAATTGTTTCTAGAAGAATTTATCCATTTTATTTGTAGGTAAAAGATAGGAACACAAACACCACCTTCAATATAGATACTTGTGATTTACGAAAGAATTTCAGTCACATATATAATACCATGCTAAGATCCAAAACTTCTGAATATAAGTGTATATCACAATCGAACATAGAATATTCAAATTAGGGCTGACGTCAGAGATTTTAAAGGTCTTTCGCACAAAGAAAAGGCGCATAGCCCATAGGCGGTGTTATTGCATCATGTACAAAACCTCATAAAATGGGAGGTTAAAAATAAAATTTTAAATATAAAGACCAAATACATGATTTAGAGCATGTTTGAGCCACATTATTTCAAAAAAATACATTTTTAAACAGTGATTTGACCTTATTTCAACTACACATTCTTCAATAAAATAATATTACACGTAGATAAAAAAATTTTCTTTATTTTTTAACCATACACTTCCAATCAATACACTATTCAAGAATGTATTATTATCAAAATAATGTACCTCAAACACTCCCTTAATATGCAGAACTAAACTGTAGATTCTCACGAGTCACGACTTCGATTTTGGTGATGAAGCTTCCCCGTATTCACTGCCTCGGTTTTTCTTTTTCGGCAAAGTGCAGACCCGACCTTTATCTTGTCCTTAAGCATGCAGTCACTGTTGTACCAAAAAAATAAAACAAAGTGTTATCTATCTTATCTATATAAACTTTTGTTCTGTGTACAAATTTTGGAGTTTTTTAATTTATAAAAAATTCAACTAAATCTGAATAAATTTAGGTGTTAAATTGCATTACCCTGACGGTGAAGCCATTGTCTAGTAAGAGGCGGTGCATGGTGATGGGCACGCGAAATGCTGAGATGTTAGTTGAATATGCATTACACGTTTCACTCTTATACAATATCATTTTGTGAATGTAACCCTAATTTCTCCCTCTATCTTTCTGGCTTTTTCTTCAAGTGCGAGGTTCTATTGACATTCCGCATAACTATCTCAGAACTTGTACGTGTTAATTTGTAGCAAACAAATTATGAACACTATGCTTTGTGATGACGAAGACGATGATGATAATCAAATGGTGATGTGTGAGGTTGAGGCTGCCAAAGCTTTGACGGGCTTGGCTTCAAACTCCAGTTCCACCATGCGCGGCGGTGCTTTGGGTTCCGGTCGACAGAGTCAGAGAGGGAAGTCTGAGGTTTACTTTTTAACTGCCGTCACCGTCTTAATTTCATAGTAAAAGGAGTAACACCCTGGTCGCATCATGTTAATTTTCTTGAATAGGCATGTTAATTTTGTTGTGCCAATCAGGCTGAGAAGGAAGCACAAAGGCGGCGTCGTATCTTAGCGAATAGAGAGTCCGCTAGGAAGACAATTCGCCAAAGACAGGTAAACTTTCTCTGCCCTTTAATCAAAGACAATATCATAGATTTTAGTTTTCTCATCAATCACTTGAAAAATTAACCATACGTCATTGAAATTGTTGGTTTTCAAATGGAAGGAAGGAGATGGAGTGTCTGATGGGAAACAGTGTTAAAAGTACATTAATATTAAAGTTCTGTGACGGTTAAGAAAACTTTAAAGGTAAATTATCCATCGAGATTTTCAACATGAGTATAGTGCTGAAAATCTAAAATATTTGGTAACAAATTACTTGTGTGCAGGGGAAACAAAAGATACGGAGGGCATATTGATGCTGATGGATGAATTCTTAAATATGAACACGACAGATAAGATACATGCAGTTGTTTATCAGCAAGTTTTGACAGAGAACGTGGTTTAATTTCTTTTAAATTTTTTTTTTGGTGATCTATCCTTCCACTAATGGGGAGTAAAATACATAGAAATGTCTTCACTGATGATATTTTTCTTTTCTTTAAGTAGGCTATGTGACACGACCTGTCCCGAATCACCCTAGTGGACTCGAAACGTGACATGCGTCGATAATAGATGCTGACTAGATGTCAAATTTATCACCAAGGCTGACTATGAGTTATTTCAAAAAAATGCAACAAAAGCAAATGCTTATATAAAATATAATGCGATGGGCCCAAAATATTTACTTCGTGCTTAATCAATATGAGTTATAATATTCAACATGTCATGTGGCTCTCATTCCGAAATCATTAGGCTCTTTCAACTAAAAAGAATCAATTTTCACCTGTAGGAAAATTACGAAAAAATATATGAGTTGATAGCGCAGCGAGTGGAGAAGTTCGAAAATAAATATACTTTTTCACTTTTACATTTCTATCGAAAATCAAATTCATATCATTTGATAATTCACAAGATAATATCATGTAATTATAACCAAAGGTAAAATATTCACATAAGGTCGTAAAATATCATCTCAAAATCATGATATAAACATCAGTTAATAAACACGCTATAATCTCATCACATCAAATGTGTTGAAAAATTCACAAAAAATGTACCATCTGATTGAAATTTATAATCCGCCCCTCGGGTTAAGAACTTTCGCCACGGGCCTTTGGCCTCTCTATGAACGAAAGTCGGTTTCAAAGATCTCTCATAATCAATTCTAGAACACGACTAAAGTCCCTCAGTGAACTATATGTACACAGTCGAGACCTCTTCATCCCCGGTCCAAGACCTCTCAGTGTAGTATAGAATACGGTCAAGACCCCTCAGTGAACTAGAAGAAATATATAATCACGGGTACTTTTCTGATCGATCTCAAAATCATATCTCATATTCCAATTCACAATGTACCGTATACAATTTTTGAAATCCCACATGTATCATAATAAAAGACATTTCCATAATAACCATGTAATTCGAACACATAATTGCATATAATTGCACATACTTTAAAAATAAACTTAATTTATAAATACTTTAAAAATATTTATATTTTTCCGCTCATAGTACTATTTTGCAAAATCAATCTGGTTGGTAAGCTGTTCTGATGTTAGTATCATCGCCTGAAATACGATATATTTTTAAATAAACAATTAATTATTTTAAATAATTTCAGTAATTA